ATGTTTGCTGAAGTGGCTGTTTATGGCGTTCTTATGATAACTTATATCCAAGAAAATGACTTTATTGACGACTGGAAGTTTTCCGCCTTTCGATAATCAAAGAACATCGTTTAGACCTTCGCCAGACTAACAGATAATTAAGCGATCGATTTGCACATTTGCTGTAATTGTCAATTTGATTCATAAATGTCGTTTTCCATTCAGGAGGCCAGTAGAATGATGGAAAAAATTTACCCACTTACATGCAAAGTTAAATATGGATTGTTGTTGCCAATTCTTCTGTTCGGATTGATATCACAGTATGATTTGAACCTCTAAGCTTTAGCATTCTATTGCCAGCTGTTTTGCTGATGGACAAAAAACGGTTTTACCATTAACCAGGAAAAGGTTCAGAGACGAGGTTAGCACAGTGGAATACAAATAGAAATATATACATACGATTGCTTGGGATTGTGAACAAAACCTGGATTGGATATCGCCTGTTAGTAGAAGTGTGCGAGTCGTCTCTCTTGATTCACATGACGTTAATTGATTTTATAAAATTCTGTGATTGTGTAAGTAAGCTATGACTCAATGGTATTAGAGCATCTACAATGCATGGAGGTGAAACAACATAACTATGTTTGGCTGAGCAAAAATTTATTCGAACACATTCCCATATATAATATATGACGATCCGCAGGCATATGTATCATTTGTGTGCTGTAGGGACTACGGTATCATAAGCAGTGCACTTCTTGAAAGGTTTCATTAACCTCTAGAAGCAGGGTAATCGTGCGAATACACGGAAGCGACCCATAAATAACGAGGTACCCTTGCTTCCCTTTACATTATTTACATTTCAGATGGGGACGATGCTGTCCTGTCTTCTACATGAATATTGTGAATGTATTGAAATTTTACCTTCCCTCGTTGCAGAAGGAAACACAAGGGAGTTTCCGAATAAATACTTGTAATTTCTAAAACTGCTTTAAATCCTGTTTTCTTCTTTAGACCAGGATTGTTCAGTCCGAAGAGCTTCTGACTCAGAACTGAGAGTCTCCGGATTCGAGTCTCGGTCTGGGTCATTCCATTTTGTTCCTTCTGGTATTGACAAATGGTACGATTCCGTAGGATGGAGACAGGAGCTACACATTATGCATGCTACATGGCTGTCGATCTGCCTTTAAAATAGGGCTCTCATATCTGATTACACAAAACGGGATTGTCACTACACCATTAATTTGATTTAAAGAACGGTGCCTGAGATGGCCCCAACACGTAAATGTGAGAAATACAGACATTTTAACGGTTACAAACTTTTCTGTTTACCTTCTCAGTAGAAATGATGCTTCAGTGGTTTTGGACACAATTGTTTGACTTGAAGATGACCACTATTTTTTGACTGATGGCAGTTCAAATAAAGGCTTTAACATCGGTCTGTTGTTTCTGTACAGATCCACTAATGTATCCCTTTGACAAATTGGCCACAAATCACTAATATAGCCGAATTTGCTTTCTGAGGCAACTGTTTAAGCACAGAAAAGTATGACATGAAGCCTTGAATCAACTGCTCCAAATCGATCGTAAATAATCGCGCAAAACTTTATTCCTGAAGCATATACAACATAACTAGCGATCTCGCAAGACTGCTCTGGAATCTAAAACGAAGATGACGTCAAGATCACGCTAGTAGACATATCAAGGAAAAGACGGTGAGCACCCTTCGTGTCACTCATAAGGCCATGAATTAACATAAAACCATTCTATTAACTCCATTGTGAAGCATAAAATTGTTTTAAATCGAATTCGCAGTTACACCTCATCCTGATTACCACACTGTATAGTCAAGGTGGGCGAATTGCAACAACATGTGGTGTTCGCATCGGAAAGTGTAGTTGTACAACTCCATCATTATGGCATGATCAGACCAGAATTCCGAGTCGCCTCTATTTGCAATACCGGACTTAACCACCACTTTTCCAAGAGGGTGCGCCGAAGCAACATGGGGTTAATTTCTTGTTCAAGTGAACTGGTTAAGACGGAGGTTGTCCCTTCGGAGGATTCTAACTCGACAGTTTAAAGCCAACCTCTTTGCCACTGTGTCACCACGCCCCATCTTCCTTATAAAACTATCACTTTAAATTATTAGGCATAAACTTAAATGATAGGTAATGGACGGCACGATCCGTATTTGTTGCTAAAGCGAACGCTGTGAATTGGCCTCATGTGGAATGTCCTCGTGACAGAAAATAATCATTGTTGCCTGTTGGATTGGAACGGAGTAATTAATTCGTAACACTTAGCAGGTCAACAGCAGTGAGGCGTTGTACAAAAAATCTAATGCCTTGTTTTCCTCAGCGGCCACATCACGGACGGAAGCCCTTGTGTTCCGCTACTCATTTCGGTGTTGTGCCCTTTACTTCCATGGTTGACCAAACAGCTTCGTCATTGGGTCATCCCAGCATGTTCATGGACGGCCGAGTGAATGCCCAGATGCCAAGGAGGATTCAGTTGGTAATTTGGGATTCGATGTGTTGTCCTTCATACAAATCACGTGGTCAGCCCCTCATGGCTTCCAGTTGTGATTGACAGTGAGTAAATCTAAAAATTATGTCTGACATCAAACTACCGCATTTGAAACATCTCAAAGGAAAACTTTGTATATTCATTTCATCGTCTTTTGCGTTACAACTGGTTGCTTTTCCTCATCCATGGTGGTAGACCAGTGCTTCCGGTCATAAATCCTGGTGAATAGAACAGCGGAGTCGAACCTTTCTTTCTTTGTAATCCAGCTGCAATGTTTTAATGTGATTGAAACTTGACAATGTCGCCCTCCTTCTTCTGCTGATCTCGCCGTTGAGGATGTGTTATTGGAGTCTACTAAGTGGCCGAGGTATACGCAGCTAGCTACTTTTCCGCTTCTTCGCCATCAGTGACGATAGTATCCGCGGATATGTGCTCGTTGGGCATCTATTTCATCTTGATGTTCTCCTCCAGACCGATAACACCTGACTCCTTCTGCACCTACACAATCTTTGTTCCGCCGGATCTTTCGCGAAGACAGTGACGTCGTCTGACATGGGAAAGCCGTTTTCCGTCGATGTTAATACCATCGCCCCAGTACAGATGGTTAAACAGGGATTCCAGCACCATAAAATACCAGCATGAATCTTGGGTGAGATGATGTCTCCTTAGCGTACTCCTCTTTTGAAGTTGATTGATGATGATTCGGCACGATTCTTCGAACCGTTTCACTCTGGTTGCGATATCAGTATTCACTTCACTGATCGGATCGAGGTGAACAGGGCTGAAACTTCAATCATGTCAAATGTTCACTGTAGCGTTCAACTCGATGGAATCGACGTCTTTTTTGAGGTCCATCAATGCGCAGCAAAGCTGGGATGGTATCCTTTGCATTTCTGTTCTAACTGCGTTGATGTGATTTGTGCTAGAGAGTCCTTATCAGACATCCCATTTTTCTTTACTCATAAGCAGTTTTAGGTTACGGTTAGGATTATTCGGGTAAAGACTTTTACCATTAACTTATGACAGTAGAAGGATGGGTCGATAATTCGGTGGATTCAATAAGGCGAATCGTCTAACAGCTCTTTCACGTCTTTCCAGTCATCTTCAGTTTTATGTACTCCGTAAATCCATCAGAAATGGCTTTGATAAGTGTCCTTCCTCCTGACAGGATATTTTACAATTTTATTTTATCCCCTCCCCCCAGGATCTGCCACACTTGATATTCTTCAGTGCCCATTCTACTTTACCACATGTTAATCCAAACAGATTCCGGGGCAAACGGAAGGCAACTTATGGTTCACTTCTACTTTGAGAAATATAGGTTGCTGTAGAATCTCGTACGTTTTGCTTTAATTCAACAGCAGT